TTTTTCTTAATGGCAATTCATAACTTAAAAGTCAAGTTACCGAGGCACATTATTGTAATACCTACAAGGGCTTCTACCTTAGTCCTATAGACGACACTATTTTTAGCCTATCTTAGCCTTACCCAATTAAACAAACATGACTATATAAATACAATTATGGAAATGGATTCCTCTATATAAGAAGAAAGTACCTATTAAATAAAAAACGATGCTACCACAATTCCGTTACGTGTTATGAAAAGTCAACTTTGAGTAGATTGATAAATTTGGTTTGGTTCATATTAATGTTTATAGAAAATAGGCCGCTTCTGTGTAGAAAACGGAAAAGGTAAATCCCACTTGGAATCTAAATCGGCATGTACAAATACAAAATAAAAAGCACAGGGGTATGTTTAGAAATTAAATTCACAAAAATAGCACCCCAAAATGTAAAACCTTTCCCATAAGAAATAGAAGAAAAAAAACACCAAACGTTTTTTCTTTTTTTTCTTTAGAGGTGATTGTTGTGTGAACATTTTTTCTTTGTAACAAAGAATATAAACATGAACCCTTTGCATATTTAATCATTTCCATGGCATTTAGATTATGATTATTATATTAATATGGATTTTTCCCCGATAGTGTCAAGCATAATATTTTGTCTCTAATGTTTTTGCCAATTCCGGATTCTGAAACTTAAAAAAGGACATCATGAAAAGCGCGTAGAGAGTCTCCATCCATGCTAAAACTTTTAAATAATATATCCGTATAAACGACGCCCCTGCGTGCGAAGTGTACAAGGAGTAGCGCAATAAACACATGGAGCGGCTAAGCTGACTACCAAGTTCATGACTAATAGATTTGGTTGCCATTAGGCTTCGAAGAACGAAGGCGTATTCTTTTGGAAGCCTGTTTACGATACTGTTTATATCATCCATTCGCTCCCGTACTTGCACGCGAATACTTCGCTCGAACTCCACGTTCTTATAGATTTTTTCTTTCATAGTGTGGTAAACGTATGGCATCATTAAGAAACAGGAAGCAAATAGTTCAAATTCATCGCAATGATATCGCTTTGCAAGCTCGGAGAGCTTGATATTGTTATGTGTGATGGCGGACGACCATATATCGCTCAACTCCTTTCGTTGAACCGGATCCAGCTCGGCGCAGAGGCCGTAATCTAACAAAACGATCTGTGGCGACCCGTCTGGCAGCTTATGCACTAAAACGTTCCCGGCGTGCGGGTCAGCATGAAAAAAACCCGTGACAAAAATCTGATACGCAATTGCGTCAAAAAAATTTCGGGAAACCTCAGAAACATTCATGCCGTTCGCGATAATACCCTTTCTGTTGGATATCTTCACTCCGTGTTCAACAAGCTCGGATACAAGCACACGCCTTGTGACGTAATCGGGAAAAATACGCGCGCAGACTACACGATTACCAAATCCCCCTTTTTCTAAATCTCTTCCAGCGCGCTTGCTATTATGGGCCTCCAGACGAAAATCTAGCTCAGCGCTGATGGTCGTAGTAAGTTTATTTAAGATTTGTCCAAAGTTAAACCCGGGGTAGAACCATCCCGCGAGGCGCAGCATGAAATCAATCGTCCGCATATCACCACGAAATCGCTGCGCGATCTCGATATACTGTACCTTAATCGCCACCTCCGCCTTTTCCTGTTTAAGAACAGCGCGATGGACCTGCGCGAGGGAGGCCGCCGCGATGGGTTCCGGATCAACTCGATCAAACACCTCCTCGAGTGGCCTCCCCAGGTCCGTTTCCAAGACCTTCCGGATCTCGCCAAACGGCCGTGGCGAAACGCGATCCTGAAGGACGGACATCCCCGTACAGAATTCCTCTGGTAGAAGGTGTGCGGCGTTTGCGAAGACCTGCCCGGCCTTGACGTAGAGTCCGCCATTTTTCTCCGCTAGCCTGACGAGCCGCCGGGCGCACCGCGCGTGGACGCGGTCCCAGGACTCTTGGCAGCTCTGCCGCGTCGCGCCGCGCAGGCTCAGGGTGTAATCGCAATAAATCACAACCCCGATGGCCCCACATCGCGCGACCCGCCCAAGGCCCTCGAGAAAGACGCGCTGGGGGAGCAGGGCGGCGGGGAGGGCCTCCTTCGGCAGCAGCAGCAAAAGCCCTCCCCCCAGGCCAAGGACACCGAGGCCAACGTAACCGGGGGTCCA